GGGTTCGAATCCACTGTGAGACACCAATGTGTCCCCAAGACACTTAACCCCTAGTTGCTCCAGAGGCGTGCGACCTCTGACATATAGAGCAATTGTAAGTCGCTTTGGATAAAAGCGTCATCTAAATGATTAAATGTAATATATATATATATATATATATATATACACACACACACATATATATATATATATATATATATATAAATAAATGATGTGAAATGGCTTATAGCTTTAAGAAATTGAACAGAAAACAAAATCTCAAAACTTGTACTTTCTCTTATATTTCACAGAACCATGACAAGTCCCAGAACCAGAACCATTTGTTTTGTGTACTTTGCATTGCTCTTCAGAACAGCACATGCTAACAACCCAAGTATCACCACCACCATCACAATCTCTTCAACGGAACCAAAAACACCCGTGAATACCGACAACCAAGAATCAAATACCCCAACAACAATAACAAGCAACAAGCAGCAATCCACCAAAACAACAAGCAGCAATGATGACAGCAAAAACGCATACACCACCACTTCTGCGATCAAAAAATTAGAATCTATACCAATATCTCAACCAGCAGGCTGCACAAAGACCACGACTGCATCCTCTGAAGCCCAGTGTCTCCTCTTACTGCCAACTGGAGATATTCTGAAACTGGTTGTGCTTGCTCTCATAGTGTGCTGCTTTGGATTGCTGGTGACCACACTGATATGCATCTGCCAAGTCTGTCACCTGAGAGGAATCATTTCCAGTCTCCAGCCAGGTCACAACAAAAACAACATTGACCTGCGTGCCATAAGAGAAAAGAGTGAATCGCCACACTGGGATGAAGGTCAAGTGGACAGGCAGCCGACTGAGACCTGCCTCATGCTATCAGAGGTCACGACGGCACAAGAGGAGCGTAAAGAGGATGAGGAGAGAGTTCTGGAGAACAAGGACACAGAGCAGCCCGGCACCGAGAAGGATCCGAACGGAGACATCACCCAGGAGAACAGTCAAGAGCCTGAAGCTAAAGCACCAGAGAGCGCCGACAAAGGGGTCTGATCACACTCACACTCACTTAAAGGGATAGTTCACTTTGAAATTCATTTTTGGTTTGTTTTAGCTTACCATCCAAGATGTAGGTGTCTTTTGTTCAATTTTGATATTGTTAGGTCAATCCGTTCTTGTCTGTCAGTCATATAATGGAGGTCTATGGTCACCACCTTGAGTGATCTGAGGGCGCGGGCCCTTTGTGGCAAGAGGTGAAAATTATATAAATACTTCACACAAACCGCTCGTTTCGTGTCTTAGGCCATCAATGTGTACTTACATTTACGAGTCATTAAATCATGTTTAATTTGGACTTCTCTGTGCATGCTCTTTGAGGTGGTGACCATAGACCTCCTTTATATGGTTTGACCTAAAAATATCAAAATTGAAACTACTGCGGAAACAAAGACAACTACATCTTGGATGGTAAGCTAAAACATACCAAAAATTAATTTCAAAGTGAACTATCCCCTTAAACTGGTGTCACACAACTCCCCCTGCTGGCAGTCAACGTCTGCATCTGCTTCATCTTTAACTGTTATCTTCTGCATAAGACGACTCAAGGTGGTGGTCTGAAATCTGAAAGTGAAATTACATTACATTTCATTTAATATTCAACAATTATATTGATCTGCCTGGATTGACATCATTATATGAGAACTGAACTGAGCTGGGCGATGACATCACGGTTTTCTCCAGAGCGGCTATCCTAAATTAACTAAATTAATCTTTTTTTTTTTTTTTTACAATAAAAATGAAACATCAGCTTGACCGTGACGCTATTTTCTTCTGGAAACAGACTTTGTTGCATTTTTTCCCTGTTTGAAACAATCTGTATTGTAAAAAGCGCTATATAAATATTTGTGACTTGACGGTTTAAAATTATATAAAAATGACTAAATGTCAGCACTGAAAATACAGCAAATAAGCCTTTGTAAACTCTCAACATTGTATGAATATGCATGTTTCAACAGCCAAAAGAATTTATGTCGTCTGCGTTTTAAATAATGTCTGTATTTTGATATTCTGCCAAAAAATTGTTTTCTTAATAAGTCTAAACATCCTTACATTAGATATTTATACGAAAATTGTATTATTCCTAATTAAAGCTATATTCTCTGAAATCAGTCAGATTTTTGCTTCTCGAGTAAACATCATGTTTTAAAGATGTTGAGACATGTTGTGTGGGTAAAACAAACAAAAAATATTTAAAAATTGACTGCAGTTTTGTTTTTGAATAAAAGTAGGCAAGTTTTTGTCTTTATTTCAACCCTGGGAACTGGTATTTCTCTTCTGAATCAACATTTTGGTAACATTAAGATTGATTAAATTCACACCATTACATTTTGCAGCATCACAGGACCGTGAGAAAATACATCATCTTACAGTCACACCCGATATTTCTGCTGTTCATTCACACTCAGCGTGTCATCACGTGATCTAGTGGTATATATTCTCAGTCTGTTATACATAGAAAAACAGAAACCCATCCAGGACAGTTGATGAATGGATCGCCTCCTCTAACTTGTGCTGGTAGACACAAGAACAGCCTTAAAATGGTAAGAAACATTTTGTCAGAGAAACTTTAATATTTGAGAGTAATTTGTCCAAAAAAAAGAAAAAAAAGATAACAGATAAGTAAACGTTGTAAGCAGCATTGAAGTCAACATACCGTTAAGTAGTATTGAAATAATAATAATAATAACTTTAATGACGAGAAAAATAAATCAATACTTCACAAGTATAATGCAAGGAGTTTAACAGTTCTTCACTGAAGTATTTGCAATATTGATGATGTTTAAAAAAAGTTATGATAATAATTATAAAGGTTGCACTTTATTTTACAGTCCCGTTCCCCATGTAGATACTATGTATTTATTATAGTAATTGCAATAACTGAGTTAAGCCATGTAGTTACCTTATATTTCTCAGTACTTTCTTAATAATAGGTAATTGCACTGTACAAGCAAGTACCCATACTGTAAAATAAAGTGCAACCATTATAAAATGTATATATATATATATATATATATATATATATATATATATATATATATATATATATATATATATATGAAGAGTTCAGATGCAAAAGCCTCTAAATGCCATTTGAAATTTTCTTCTTTAATGATGATTTTTTATCAAACTTGTATGTTTAAGTTCAGTAATTTCATTTAAATAACAATTAATAGGTAATTATCATTGCCATTTAAGTGAAATCACTGAACTTAAATATACAAGCTTGATAAAAATGATCATTCTAGAAGAAAATTTCAAATGGCACTTAGAGGCTTTTGCATCTGAAGTCTTCATATATATATATATATATATACATAAAACAGTAATAATTAAACTGAAGCACAGTAGTTTAAACTTAGGACAAAGTTATTGTATACGTACTGTATTACAGGGATAATCTCCCAAAGAAACAATATTTTATTTTATCTAAAAAATAATTAAATCTTTTACAACTTTCTCTCTAAACTAAAGTGATAAAATATCAAATATTTGCAATCACTGAGCTTACACACACACTCAGTAGTAATTAAACTAAAGCAAAGTTGTTGGTTGTGTGAATGGACAATGTTATAGTGTATCTACTGTATTACAGGGACAATCTCAAAAATATCTAAGATATAATGTGTTTTACAACTGTTTTCTTTCTCTACAGTGATAAAATATCATATTTAACATGGACCTACTAAGACGTTATTTGTTCATTTTTCTGTTACCTGCCATTTTGCTGTCATTAAGCATCTCTTCGACCACAACCTCCGACCACACGAACGAGTGGAAGGGTGGAGACGGTGTGAAGGGGTCACGAGTGCGAAGGCAGAACTTACACCCACCAGATGCATTACGTTTACCAGAAAAGGCTTATGCTCTGTATGTTTTATGGAGACTTTTGAATGAAGTTTCCAACGATACAAACCCCATCAGACCATCAACAATGACACCGGACAAACTGGAATCTAGGACATCAGAAGGGCCAAAGAACACGGAGATCGTCTTCAAAGCAGAGGATGAACCATCTTCAGCTCCCACACAGGAACAAAACACTCACTCCACTGGGATTACAGTTATGGCATCTTTCCCCACCGACCCGTCATTATCAGATTTACAGAAAACAACTCAATCAGGAGATTCACAACAAGACAAACAATCACCTCAACGACTCCAGACAACACAAAAAATACCAGAACCCAGTCAAGAGGAACACATCCCTGATCCCACAACATTACCAATCAAAATCTCCTCTAAAGCAGCGGAGGAATCTTCTTCAACTATCATTCATGAACGAATTGGCCATTTGACTGGTATTACTGATACAAAGGACTCTAGAGCCATGGGATCTCTCCCAACACACTCACAGAAAACAACCCAATCAGGAGATTCCCAACTAATTGAACAATTAACAATCTCTAAACAGAAAATGACTGAACCCAGTCAAGTTACGGAGCAACACATCCCTGATTACACAACATTCACAAACAAAATCTCCTCTAAAGTAGTGAAGGAACTCTTTCCAACGACCACACATGACCAAATTGAAGGTTTTACTGATATGACTGGTAAAACTGATTCTCCAGCTATAATGTCTTTCCACACTGATCAGCCAAAACAATCAACACAGCATTTCCAGAGACCCAAATTTCCACTGATATCCACAGAATACAGAAATGAAAAGGAAACTCCACTAGAGACCACCATAAACTCACACATCACAAACCATGGCATGGTTGCCTCAACAAGGGAAACCCCCAGCCTGCGACGCACTTCACTTCTACAAACAATGAAGCATGAACATTCAAGAAGAGTCATCACTGGGATGGTGAAAGGCATTTTAAGACCCACTCTACCTGCAAGGACAAAAACCCCAACTTTAAGTTCATCAGCAGTCCAGCTTGAACTTCTAGAAACTGCTTCATACACACGTTCTGTAACTTGGCACAATGGGAAGCCCAACCAGTTTGTGACGGCCACAAATCGGAGAGATCCAAAACCTACGCCACCTTCATCCACATTGAAGCAACAAATCCAAGACTCTACTTCACTTCTCACAGTAGAAAGCCCCAATTCACATATCAATGGGTTCACGGCAGATCCAGAACCTCACAAACCCACACCAGCAGAAGAGCCAACAAATCAACACACAAATCAACTCCTCCCTGATTCCACAACATTTACAATAAAAAATTACACACCACAACTATTCACTCAACAATCAACTCAACATCTCCAGCAATCCAAGCAGGAAATCTCAGAACCCAGTCAAGAGGAACACATCCCTGATCCCACAACATTAGCAATCAAAATCTCCTCTAAAGCAGCGGAGGAATCTTCTTCAACCATCATTCATGAACGAATCGGCCATTTCACTGGTATTACTGATACAAAGGACTCTAGAGCCATGGGATCTCTCCCAACACACTCACCGAAAACAACCCAATCAGGAGATTCCCAACTAGTTGAACAATTAACAATCTCTAAACAGAAAATGACTGAACCCAGTCAAGTCACGGAGCAACACACTCCTGATTACACAACATTCACAATCAAAATCTCCTCTAAAGTAGTGAAGGAACTCTCTCCAACTACCATATACACCCAAATTGCAGGTTTTACTGATATGACTGGTACACCTGATTCTCCAGCTATAATGTCTTTCCCGACTGAACCGACACCACAAGAGCCACAAAATAACTCTCAGTCAGGAGCACCACAACTATTCACTCAACAATCAACTCAACATCTCCAGCAATCCAAGCAGGAAATCTCAGAACCCAGTCAAGAGGAACACATCCCTGATCCCACAACATTACCAATCAAAACCTCCTCTAAAGCAGCGGAGGAATCTTCTTCAACTATCATTCATGAACGAATTGGCCATTTCACTGGTATTACTGATACAAAGGACTCTACAGCCATGGGATCTTTAACACACTCACCGAAAACAACCCAATCAGGAGATTCCCAACTAGTTGAACAATTAACAATCTCTAAACAGAAAATGTCTGAACCCAGTCAAGGCACGGAGCAACACATCCCTGATCCCACAACATTAGCAATCAAAATCTCCTCTAAAGCAGCAGAGGAATCTTCTTCAACTATCATTCATGAACGAATTGGCCATTTCACTGGTATTACTGATACAAAGGACTCTACAGCCATGGCATCTCTCCCAACACACTCACCGAAAACAACCCAATCAGGAGATTCCCAACTAGTTGAACAATTAACAATCTCTAAACAGAAAATGACTGAACCCAGTCAAGTTACGGAGCAACACATCCCTGATCCCACAACATTAGCAATCAAAATCTCCTCTAAAGTAGTGAAGGAACTCTCTCCAACTACCATACATGACCAAATTGAAGGTTTTACTGATATGACTGGTACACCTGATTCTCCAGCTATAATGTCTTTCCCGACTGATCAGCCAAAACAATCAACACAGCATTTCCAGAGACCCAAATTTCCACTGATATCCACAGAATACAGAAATGAAAAGGAAACTCCACTAGAGACCACCATAAACTCACACATCACAAACCATGGCATGCTTGCCTCAACAAGGGAAACCCCCAGCCTGCGGCGCACTTCACTTCTACAAACAATGAAGCATGAACATTCAAGAAGAGTCATCACTGGGATGGATAAAGGCATTTTAAGACCCACTCTACCTGCAAGGACCAAAACCCCAACTTTAAGTTCATCAGCAGTCCAGCTTGAACTTCTAGAAACTGCTTCAGACACACATTCTGTAACTTGGCACAATGGGAAGCCCAACCAGTTTGTGACGGCCACAAATCGGAGAGATCCAAAACCTACGCCACCTTCATCCACATTGAAGCAACAAATCCAAGACTCTACTTCACTTCTCACAGTAGAAAGCCCCAATTCACATATCAATGGGTTCACGGCAGATCCAGAACCTCACAAACCCACACCAGCAGAAGAGCCAACAAATCAACACACAAATCAACTCCTCCCTGATTCCACAACATTTACAATAAAAAATTACACACCACAACTATTCACTCAACAATCAACTCAACATCTCCAGCAATCCAAGCAGGAAATCTCAGAACCCAGTCAAGAGAAACACATCCCTGATCCCACAACATTAGCAATCAAAATCTCCTCTAAAGCAGCGGAGGAATCTTCTTCAACCATCATTCATGAACGAATCGGCCATTTCACTGGTATTACTGATACTAAGGACTCTACAGCCATGGGATCTCTCCCAACACACTCACCGAAAACAACCCAATCAGGAGATTCCCAACTAGTTGAACAATTAACAATCTCTAAACAGAAAATGACTGAACCTTCATTCACATTGAAGCAACAAATCCAAGACTCTACTTCACTTCTCACAGTAGAAAGCCCCATTTCACATATCAATGGGTTCACGGCAGATCCAGAACCTCACAAACCCACACCAGCAGAAGAGCCAACAAATCAACACACTCAACAAAATGCAATCAATACCGCAAAATCTTCAAGAGACAGTTTAATGCAACACTTCATGACAACTCGCATATTAACAAAAGGTTCATCCGCAAGCAGAAAAACCGATTCCACATCACACCATTTAGTTGACTCGAGAGAACCAGGGGACACATCATCTGCTGCACCATTCAGAACCAATCAGATTAATCCAAAAACACAATCACAGAGCATAACAAACAAATATCCCATCTTTGGCACAATAATGTCCCATACAAGTGTCCAGTTAGTAAAGGACACATCAACTCAAGCTCCCAAAGATAGAGTCCGATCGTCTCAAACTATTCCAGTCTTCACTGTGACATTCGCTCCAAATCCAAAACCTTCAGAAAACCATATTCTTACAACATCAGTTGGATTTCTGACATTAAAAACCCAGGAAATTCCATCCTGGATATCAACAAAACGGTCCAATGTACAGCCCACTGAAACAACAGGGCTCGATCGGGCTTGACGAATCAAGAACCTACAGCAGATACAGTGGCAAAGGAAAATCACGCCAACCAAACAAAATCAAAACCAACGCAAAGCACAATTGGACGCAAACTGAGTAAGACGACTCGTAAGATGATGTCAAAAACACAAAAGGTCTCAAATTCCAAGACATTTATTACTCCAACACACAAATCAGCTGATACTGCAATAATACATGACAAGCAAACCCACAGAGGAATGTTTGGATTACTCTTCACTCTTGGGTGCCTCATCCTGCTGATAATTGTAATCTTGCTTCGGGTCGTATGGAAAATATGGCAGACCCGGCATTGGAGGAACAACAACATGTGGGTGGCGGGTCACCCTCTACTGTGTGGAACATATCGTTCAGTCTGGCAGACCTGCAGTCTAAACACTGCAATAGAGATGACGAATGGGAAAACCCAAAAGAATAAGCAGGAAAATAGGGATGTTTATGAGAGCATCGCCCTCAAGCAACACAACAAAGACCTTCATTAGCCCTCAAACCATATAATCCTGTAATTGTGGGCACAGAGGACTCAGGTGTGATCCTAATGTTAGATCACTGTCTTCGATAAAGTTTTGTCTATCCATTTATGGTGTTTTTTTAATTTTGGGGGTATTTTTGAATTTATTTACATCAAAAAGAACCATATTTTCTATGTAAATTTGTCTTATTTTTATGTTTTATTTTTTTTTTAACTGCATTAAAATATCATTCCAATAAGTTCTTAGAGCTAAAACCTAAAGATGAAGTGACTTTGCGGTCACCTGGTGTCTTATTTTGGCTTACTTTAGAATGCTCTAAATTACAGTTTTTCCCATTCATTTCTATGGGTGCCCATTTTTGACCCAAATAGCTACAAGATTAAGGAGTTTTAACAATTAACATTGTAGAATTGAGTCCAAAAAAAAAAAAAAAAAATTGTGTGTGTTCAGGAGGCAAACTTAGGAAAAGTAGCCAAGTCTTGTACCGGTCAGATCAAGGGAAGTATTTTTTAAAAATAAATCAAAACTATTTTGCCCACATTTGTCCAGAATACGGTTTTAGGGTTAAACACAAGGATGCCAGCGAACACAAGGCACACTCTCGAATACTTACCCTCGACTTTTTTAATTAAACAAATTCTGATTTAACAAATTCTACTTGCAGACAACACCATCGTGTCCCGCACATGCAAACACTTCACTTTACATGACTTGAATGAACAAATGAGAGATATTACATTATTTAGAGATTGTGTGGTTTTACTTTTAAAAGGTAATTTCAGTTTTCTTCACCTGTATTTTAAGTAGCAATAACCTGTTTTTTTTTAAATAAACAAAAAAATATATAAATAAACAATGGAAAGTTGATTACATGTAAAAAAGATTAAACTTCATGTGGCGATAACAATCTTCTCTAGTCTCCAGCTGGCTTTCTTTTTAACATCCAAATCTGCCTGACTAACATATAAAACAGCAACAACATTGAGCTCCACTAAAACAGAATTAGATGAACAAATCATTAAACTGAGGGAAAGAATCTAGACAGCACATGTAAAATTAGAGCTGAGCACAGATGCAAAACAGTTTGACGATGCCATTTCTGCATTATGCACACAAATACAACACGAATACAACAACATTCACAGCTAAATTAGTAAGCAGAGGATGGGGCATTACTGGGCAGCATTAGCAGGCTTGGAAAGAATGAGGAGATTGAGAAGAAAGAGGGAGAGAAAGATGGAGAGTGGCACTGAAAAGGTTCTGTACTAGCGCTCTTTTGCTCAAAACACACATGCACACACACACTTATCCAGCCAAAAACATGAAGGTGAGGAAGTTTTAAATCAGTTACCAAAAAGCGTGCTGAGAATTGTACTAAACTTAACCAAGAACTGTTCCGGTATCAGGGTTTTAAATTATGAATTTTAGGTGGATTTGTGGTAAAAAACTGGTTTTAAAACTGGTGACAATTTGTTGGTACTGTTACTTTCAGTGAGAACTGACAGCATAATCTGATTAACCTAATGTAATATTAGATAAAATAGATATAATTTTATATATATATATATATACACAC